TTTTTTATTAATCTTTGTTTTTAATTGCATAAAGGCATTCCCTAAAATCCATGATCTTGGTTTTCCTTTATATCTATATCTGGGAAAGGTAGAAGAAGAACTTGGCTTTCATGTGTTAGGTCAAATGCAAGGACCACTTAATTTTTCTTCCCATTTTTAACATAATTATTAGTGGGACAAATAACACAACTGTCACTCTGAGTCTGCAGAAGACTACAAACAATAATGAACATTACTATTGCTTACCAAAGCTACTACCTTGCCTCTGAAATATATTCTTTGGATCATGGGAATGGTTTTCCAAGATGTCTTTCTCAGAGAATATTTGGCGATAAGTTATAGATATAGAAAACCAAACAATATTCTTGTGATCCTTGGTGGATTGATCATATACTAGTTCAGAAATATCAGGATGAATCTATGGAGATCACTTGGTCAAATGCATTGATACTATGTGATGCAATCAATTGTATACTATGTCATGCAATAATTATACCAAAAGCTTAAGTCGTATGAATGTAAGTGAATAATTTTATTATATCCATTTATATAATTTTTGTCATTATTATTCTTAGATAAAAAAAAATCTTAAGGGACGTTTGGTATGAGAGATATTTTTTTTGCCTAGGGAAAAAAGATTTCTGATAATATGGTGAGAAATAACTTATCCCTAGAAAGTAACGAAAAGTTGTTTAGTAGATTAAAATTTTACTGGAAAAATGTGCTTAATTTTACTGATGATGCGTTTGGTTGATTGTAAAATATTGAAGGAAAAGTTAACATAAATTACCAATTTACCCATGAATTTTGAATATTGTAGCTCTGACATCAAAAGTTCATTTTTCACACCGCCAAACGCGCCTCCCAGCCTTGTCCCTCCGCCGTCCACACCGACTGAAAGTATAGCATCGCGTTTGCGCTCTAAACCCAGCATCTTCAAATGTCAACAATAGTCGTTTTTCACCCAAAAGTCAGGAGCAACGCTGCAAGCCGCCATTGTCCCTGCATTTTCATACCTGAATTCATTACAATCAGAATCAGAGTACACAGGGAAAATTAAATACCATAGACTGGGGGTATAGTTTTTTTTCCAGTGCTTAGTGCAAATGGGAATTAATGGGAGAATTTTTTTCTGGCAATAAATCACGATAACTTATACCATACACTGACAAAAAATATTCCTCACCTCACTTCCCCATCATTCTAAACAAAATCTCCAAAACAAATACCCCCTCAGAGGATTCTTAACTCTAATTCAGTGGCACACCTAGCATTTTTTATAATAGGGGATAAAAATAAAATTTTAAAATTATAAGTATTATTAAGACTAATAGAAGTCATTAATTATTATAAATATTTTTTTAGGGAGGAGCTAATTATTATTACCAACCGCCCCTGCTCTGATTATATATTGACTCACTGTGATGTTATAACCCGCGTGAGCTATTTGAGTTCTGCTTTCTTGTCTTCTTTTACAAAAATTTCTTGCTCCGCTATACCTAAGTTCTTTGCTAGTGTGTTTGAAGCTTCCTTACTTTCAGCTTGGATAGTTCACAATCCTTGACATGAATGGAACAACTAGACCAAAGAATGAGAGCTTGTGGGTTTTGTTCATAACATGTATTCAATAACAATGGTGTTCCATAGCTTGCAGAAATTTGAACCGCATAATAGACTTTCCAGACAACCTCTGGATTAAGAAAAAGGGCATACTCTCTAGAAGCCATTTAATATCTCTGTTGATGTTCACAGGATATGTTTATTTAAGAACATTAGAGAATTTATGACTTTAAGTTTCACACATGTCAATAGTACCCACAACCTTTTTAAACTTTAGACTATTTTTTAAAGTTTTACCACAAATTTCATTCAATTTAGAAATGTTAATTATCATTTTTTTTGGTAGACAATAATCATTTTAATACATTCTTCTGTCATGTTTATATTAATTTATTAATAATAAATTCCTAAAAAAATCTAAACTTTTCATATATATATATATTGGTAAAAAAAACCTTTCATATATATTAAATATTAACATAAAGTCATAAACCAACAAAAGATTAAATTATTCATTAAGTTATTTGATAAATTTTTTTGAATTTGGTACTTTTTTTTTAAAAATAAACAAAAGATCAGAAGCTGACTGACCATCATGGATAAAAAATAATTACCAAAATAATACTTACCAAGTTGGGATAGTGTGTACATATGGAGATCATCTTTTGTGCACCAGGAGCAGGTGCTTCTTTTATTGGGTGTAAGATATCTGGATAAACAAAATTATTTTCTCTCTACGTAGTACCATATATAAAAAATATCCCATTTTGGACTATCGAATCAAGTGATGGTCGGGATCATATTAAATATTTCCATACACTTTACATGATACATATATACTACATTGTTTTATATAATGTCTTTTATTAGAGATAGCCACGCGACAAATATGCAATAATTCAAGCACGGGTATTAGAGGGGGTAAAAAACACATACTTGAATCATTAAAGAAACAACTTATTGTACAGATATCTCAATTTACTGGTGCTAATAATAATTTACACTAGGGAAACTATTTTTGTAGCTCTGACAGAAATATTTGAGTGGGCTCTAATAAATTTTTCTCTCTCATTTCTTTATGGTTTCTCTCTCTCATTTTTGTATTTATGATAGACAAACTATTTTTGTCATATCTGCAGAAATAATTTTCCTTTTACACTAATTATTCTCAAAATTAGGGGTATAAATGGGCTGGACTTTGGCTTAAATAGGTTAGACCTGTGTAAAATACTTTAGGTCTGATATGTTTGTTAGCCTTGTGTAGGTTTAAATTATAGGTTCTGATCGGACTATATTTTAACAAAACAAAAGCCTTGGTATAAGCTTGTCTAAGCTTATTAGACATTCAATAATTAAAAAATAATTGAATAATGTTAATTATTCAAAAATATTAAAATAATAATTTTATTTATTTAATTTAAAATAAATGATATGATATAGGTCAGTATGTAGACTTATTGGCCCAACATATAAAAGAAAGCCCATGACTTGATTTCTAAATAGATTTAAAAAAAAAACTTGAGCTTGTGCTATTTGACTATATATGATAGGCTAAGCGTGGCCTAATATAGATTGGGTCGTAGGCCCCTATTAGCTTGCCTAACTCATTTACACCTTATTCAAAATTATATTTTTTCCCATCTATGAAAAAAATATTTATTATTTAAAATAAATAATTTTGTATTATTTAAAATGAAACAATGGTATATATATATTAACATTTAAAATTCTTTTTTTTTTCTTCACAAAATTAGAAAGAGATAAAAAGACATAATATTTAAAAAAAATAATGCAAAAAAATGACTAAAATATGATCATTTTACTTTTAATGACACAAAATTATATCGTTTAAAATGAGAAATATTATTCATTTATGCACACACACGTTCGCTTGTAGAAAAAATACGCGTTGGACATGTGTTGAACACTGACATGCTTTGACACGTTTCGACATACATTTGATATACGATCAAAGTTTTTGGACACAGTCAACGTTTTGAGACACACATCCGACACGCGGTCAAAGTGTCCGAACGGTTAAGAGGCCAAAAATGTAAAATTTTAATTTTTTTATAAAATCAAAATAATTATAAAATAAAACGTAAAAGTTAAAAAAAAAAATGAACGCAACTATATGGCTTCAACGAAATCAGCCATGAATTCTGTGAGCTCGGAGAAATCATTCGGTCCATGGGTCAGAATACTTGAAGCCGGGACTAGGGATGGTAAATAAATCAGGGGTCTTTGGCTCGACTTGTGAAGGCCTGAGTTTACATGTCTAAAATTTGTTGTTGGAACCAAGCTTAGACTTATATAAAAGCTCGATTCTAAAGTTTGGCTTTAGAGTCTCTAAGGTTGGTTTAGTATATTAATTTTTTATTTTTCATACTACTTGTAATAACCTTCTCTCTCCTCAATCCATTTTATCTCATTTTATTTGTTAAACATACTTTTTGAATGATTTTGTTCTATATTATGTTGTTTGGATAAATATTAATTTTATGGAATATTTATGATTTTAGGTGGTCCATTAGTGTAAATAGGAGGGTAAAATTAGAAAAGAGAGAAAATAACAAGAATAAAAAGGGAAGAAAAAAATTAATATTGTGAGAGGAAGCATAAAAAAAAAAGTGATCCCGGAACATATAAAATATTTCCAAGAAACACAACTTTCTGTCTCTACTATTAATGTCTTTGTGGTGGTGATTTAGGAGAAAAAAAATTAACAAAATCTATATAGTATCTAAAAGTGATAATATATTTTTGATTAATTATATAATTTATTATGGACTGCTATATGTTTTAAATGTAAATTATATTATATATATTAAAAATATTATTTAATATTAAAACGTGTCTTGACACGTCAAAATTTAATATTTTTTAAAGTTAACGCTGTGTCGTATCTTATCGGATCTCGTGTCGGTGTCAATTGATATTGTTCTCATATTTTATTGAATATTCTTACTTTTCATAATGGAAAAAGAAAACCTGATTTCTACCCTCAATGACATAATCCTTTGTTGTCTTAAAATAAATGCCGGATGATTCGTCCTAAAAACATGTTAAGCCCCCGGAATATTCTCGGCTTATGTCCGAGGATCCCTTTTCCGCAATTAAACTGAGGGCATTTCCGTAACTCCAAACCACCAAACACGTTCCTTTTCGTGTAGAAACTAGAAGATCTGGAGCGTCCAATCTCCATCCATACTGATTAACGGCGGAGATCTCATGTTTGACTGAGGTACAAACTTTGAAGTTGGAATGATTGGAATTGATGGAAGTTTGACCATAGAAAATTAATAATTTCATTAATTAATTATTAAAAATGCAAAATTGCAACGTGGCAGTCATTCAGAGGAGAGAGAAAGACAGAGGATTCATAAGATTGTGTTGTCTGGCACCGTTTTCTCTCATTTTTTCCTTTGTCCACTTTTTTGTTTGCAGGAAACTTCAAAATAGATATTGTTTGCAGGGAAGAGAGAGAGAAACCTTCTCTCTCTGAATATCTCTCTCTTCTCTGTGTTCATCTTTTTCATTTTATGATAAAAAAATTCAAACTTTTTTGGGTGAGATTTGAATAAACAACAATGAATATGATGCGAAGGTTGAAGAGCATTGCTTCTGGGAGGACTTCCATTTCATCAGATCCAGTAAGCTAAACATGATTTGCTCCTCAAAAAGTTTTAATTTTTATTTATTTTTTGTCCATATTTGGATGGAGTTCCTTGTTTTGTTGTTGTTGCTGGGAACTTGTTGGGAAATGTTGAATGTTGTTACTTGTTAGGCATAAAAGTTTTTTTTTTTTTTTTTTCCTTCAAATTCTTTTAATAAAATTGTTATTTTGCTTTTAGCACCCTTTTGCTGATGTTATTTCTTACACATGTGAATTATTGTCCCTTTTTGGCTAGGTACTTGTGATTGTGACCACCATTTATTATTATTATTTTGAGATGTAGCTGTTTTTTTTATTTGAAACGTTTTAAAATCTGACTATTTGTGTTCTGCCTCTCATAATGTCTCATTTGCTGTTGTTTTGTTTATACCCTTGTGGATTGGAGTCTACTGATTTTCTAAGCTGATGAGAGAACAAGCTTTGTGTAAGTTTGACATGATTGTGCTGTTGAAGGTGTTGTCTTGCCAAAACTATAAGATGATAAGATTCTAGAAACAGACATGTTGTGGCTATTAAGGCATTAAGTGTTAAACCCTTGTGAATTGGGTAATGCATTAGTTGTTTGTTTGCTTATGGTTCATCACTTCATTGTCATTATACTCTTAATGTAATTATGGGTAGGGAATGGTTTGTACTGTGGAGTTCAATTTGGTTTCTCATTTAACATACCTGGATAAAACACATGTCCCAAATGTATTAGTTAAATTCAAACTTGCTTCTTCTCAGGGAGGGGATTTAACTACAAAAAGAGTTAAGTTTGATCAGGAGACTGAAGGAAAGGTTAATGAGGAAACAAATCCTATTGAAAGAGGAGGTAAAGATCAGGAGCAGCATTTAGATGCATCAAAAGAAACTACTGTTGATCAGCTTCCAAAAGAATTACATGAAATGAAAATTAAAGACGATAAGGGCAAAAACAACAATGAAAAGGTAATGTTGTTCATTTTTTTTCTTATTTTCCTACTTTTAGATGCTTATGTTAGTCATTACTATGATACTCTTAAAATGTAAATTCATTGCTATGTTAGCATATGCACCTTTTTGTCTCCACCAAGATGTACTTAAACAAGTTACATTTAAAGTTTCGTGAAGCTGAATTTTTTTTAAATGCAATCAATTATTAAGTTTGTAATTGATTTGCTGCATGCAGGATATGGAGCCAACTATTGTGAACGGAAATGGAACAGAAACAGGTCAAATAATTACAACTGCTATTGGTGGTCGAGATGGACAACCAAAGCGGGTATTGTTCCCATTAGTTCCTTAATTGATATTCTACTTCCCCACTCTTAGAGGAATTAGATTCTGAGAATCCATTTTCTCATTTTCATTATTTATGTATTGCACTGCTTGGTATGTACGTTTTTTTAGGGGTATAGGTTGAGGGGAAGATTACTTCTGATATAATTTATCATATTTTGTTAGTTGTAATACTGAACGCTAGTGTCTATTATCAAGTTTCACTAGTGGTATTATGGAACTATATATACACATCGATAATCAGATTAGGCCATTTTTTTGGTACTATATCGACATTATTTTATTTGTAACGAGTACTTTATGCATAATATTCGACAAAAAGTTATAATTATGACATATTTACTTATTTAGTTTATTTAGAACATTTCTTTTACTATGTCATCATAGATGCATAATAACTTGTATTAATGGTTTGCTGAAAACCATTGTGCATTTAATAACTTTATTTTACCTGTCTCAGACAATCTCATACATGGCAGAACGTGTGGTTGGTACTGGTTCTTTCGGTGTTGTTTATCAGGTATTTATACTCGCTTTACAGTATTTGTTTATATGTAAGAAATGAATCTTTCTTCACTGTTCTATGGGCTTGCCAATTTACTTTCTTTACTTATCTACAATGCCTTGAATATACTGTAGGCTAAGTGCCTTGAAACTGGTGAAGCAGTTGCAATAAAGAAAGTATTGCAAGACAAGAGATATAAGAATAGGGAACTCCAGGTTATGCGTGTGCTTGACCATACTAATGTTCTTAAATTAAAGCACTGTTTCTATTCAACGGCCGAGAAAGATGAGTTGTATCTCAACCTAGTTTTGGAGTATGTACCTGAAACTGTGTACAGAGTTTCAAAGCAATATGTCAGGATACACCAACACATGCCTATCATTTACGTGCAACTATATATGTACCAGGTAAGTGTAGAAACTTTGAGTTGATTGACCTTTTTATTTAAAAAAGAATTGGCTGAGTTTCGTGTAGAATTCCAGTTATTTGCTTTGAGCTTGTTACTTTGTGCTGTTATTGATTGATCATGGAAAAACTTTCTTGTAGATATGCCGTGGTTTAAATTATTTGCATCATGTGATCGGAGTCTGTCATCGGGACATCAAACCCCAGAATCTATTGGTAAGATCAATTTTTTCTTTAAAATTTCCTTGTATTGTGAACCATATTTTTTGATGCAAACCGGATAAATGAATTTTCGAAGTCCGATGCACAATACTGTTTATTGCATCGATTGATCAATATGATATATGCTTGCTAAACCTTATTTACATCTTGTCTGGGGGCAGACAATTGTCAGTTCTACATGATCTACTATGTTATTGCTTAGAAGGACGGAAAGAGACAGATTTAACTTTGCCACATATTGTTTAATTTGCGATGCACACCATGTAGAAGAATTTAGTAGATCTTGTTGTCTAAAATATGAACTATTAGTAATTTGTTTGCTCATTGTAGATTTTAATTATGGTTTTGATAGATATTCAAGTTGTCTAGGTGAGGAAAAATTAAGGGAAAGGTTGACAACTCATGGAAGCAAGACAGGTAAGGTGGAAGGGAGTATGCATGGGAAGTTTCTTGTGTAACTGCCTAGACAGGTGGAAGGTGGAGAGAGTGAAATGAGGAAGGTGTGAATTGACCAAATTCAGTTAGAGAAAATGTTTAAAAGCAGAAGGGAAGGGGGTAATTGTGTAGAGAAGAGTTATTGGGTGGGTTTGGTTATTCCTAAGGCTAGGACTCTCTTGGGGTCCCTTAATTCTGTATTTTTCATTTCTGTTTGTTCTTGTTTCCCAAGAATTCCAGAATTCATTTCTGGTTTAAGAAGCTAGTCTCCCATTTCTCTAATAGTAAAACTTAGTTCTTATCAGGTTTCCTGATAATGATTATTGTAACACATTATATTGCTTGGAATCCTTCTTTATAGTACCAAATTGTATTAGCCTGACATGTGGTTGCATATCACAGGTTAATCCCCAGACTCATCAGTTAAAGATATGTGATTTTGGGAGTGCAAAGATGTTGGTATGTTCTTTTTTTCTATATCAATTTGAAAATCTTATGATAGTATGTGCCCAAGCTTAAGATATTATTGCATTTTTAGGTGCCTGGCGAACCCAACATATCATACATATGCTCGCGGTATTATAGAGCTCCAGAACTTATATTTGGGGCAACGGAATACACAACTGCTATTGATCTTTGGTCTGCTGGTTGTGTTTTGGCTGAGCTTCTTCTAGGACAGGTGAGAATTTATATTAGTTATCTCTCTCTCTCTCTCTTACATGTAGAGGGGGCTTTCATATCAATTGGCAAAAACAGCATTTCCATGAAGTTCAATGTGTATAGAGAATTCTCAATTTGTTCTGCATTTTTGGGTGATATTTGCAATTTAATGTACTGCCTTCTAGTTTTTGGTGGATTCTCGTTTATCTGAAAATTTTCTCCTATGGCTTGTCTCTTTAGTTATCAAATCCTGCAAGAACTCACATGCAATAAACTTATTTATAGTTTGTGTCAGTTGTCCAATATTTTTCTTTAAGCATTTGTCTTGGAGTGTGATGATTCCTTTCCTGGCGGCCACTAACTAGTTCTTAGAATGAATGACACATTTTTAGATTGATTCTTATCCATGACTGTGTTGTGTTATTTGCAGCCAATGTTTCCCGGAGAGAGTGGCGTTGATCAGTTAGTAGAGATCATTAAGGTAAAGTTACTTGTGTTCTTTGTCCATTTGTTTTACAACCTTCTTGAAAGTTGCTTTCTGTTGTTTTTGGTTCTTCAATCTGAGTGTAACTATGTACTATAGATCTTGGGAACACCAACCAGAGAAGAAATAAAGTGCATGAATCCAAATTACACTGAGTTTAAGTTTCCTCAGATAAAAGCGCACCCATGGCACAAGGTTAGCAGTTCTTTCTCACCAGTTGCCCCTAAAGTATGTAATTTGTAATTGATAAAATACTTCCAATCAGAGAGCTGACTGACTTAGTAATATCCAGATTTTTCACAAAAGGATGCCTCCTCAAGCAGTGGATCTTGTGTCAAGAATGCTTCAATATTCACCAAATCTACGTTGCACTGCTGTAAGAATTTTAATTTGCTTTTAGAAATGTTACCTTTTATACACACTACAGTTTTGTTTGTACACGCATGGTTGCATTCACACACATCAAGGAATGAAGATGGACCATCTTTGCACATGATGGTTATTTATCTTCAAAATTCGTTACCTAATTTTATCCATGCTTGTACACAGTTTGAGATTATAAAAATTTAGGAAGATATTCATTTGTGTTTGGTTATTCTGTTGTGCTGATGATTATCTCTTGTTTACAGCTGGAAGCATGTGCACATCCCTTCTTTGATGATCTACGAGACCGGAATGCATGCTTGCCGAATGGACAAGCATTGCCTCCTTTGTTTGATTTCACAGCTCAAGGTAAGGTGGTGGTAAAATCACCTTCATGTGTTGCATAAATCTTTTGCCATTGCTTATATTAAAAAAAAAAATGATGCAGAACTGGCTGACGCATCCGATGAGTTGCGCAGACGTCTCATTCCTGAGCATGCAAGGGAGTTGAATTGATTATGGGGCATTGTAAATGGATTTTTGGATGAATAGATAACCACACCAGCAATGCTACATTCCTAGCAGTCCAGGTCTCTGTTGTCCAGCCTGCACAATCATGACTATACAAAACTCATATGAACCTCAAAACCATGCAACTGCTTTATCAAAAACCTGGCAGGTGACAATCAGATGTGGATGAAGTAGGACTAAATGGTGATAGGGTTGCAACCATTTTTTTAGTAGTTTATGATTGATGTATGACTCAATTTTAAAAGATAACGAGTTCTTACAATATTGTACTCATGTTTCATATAGTTCAAGCTCGTTTGTTTCTCAAAGCGAATTATCAGATGAGTAGGCATCTTTTTTCAACCCCTGTTTCTCTATTTTGTTTTTGTTATCAAGTTGAGAAAACATAATTCTACTAATTGATGCACTGTTTTTGCTGTAATAGCAGCTACAAGTTTGAAAACAAATAAAGGCATTTTATCAAGTTACTTTTTGTGAATAAAGAAATGAACATTTAATGGATAGCAAACACATTGCATCCCTTAGATTAATTGGCTAAATTCCTCTCTATAACAATATTTGAAGAAACACATTATTAATGGTCCCCGATCGTGCATATTATCATTTTGCAGCCCATAATGTAAATCAGAAAATATCTACTCCATCACTGTGCAACATGCTTTAAATTTTAATTTAAAAAAGAGTAGTTTTGCTTCCTCCTCCATCTCAGATCCATGTCTGTATCAAACATTAAGTTCTTAATATTTTTGAACAAGGTTTATTTCTCAATGTAAGGTCCAAACATTGTAAAAAAAAATTTGAATTAAACAATGAAAGCACAACAGAAACAGCAAAGTTTGCGTAACAAAGCTCTAAAAGCTTGAAATGGTCATGTGTATCAGTTCCTTTTGAAACAGGATGAAGTACTAGTATGGAGACAATGAATATGTATGTGTATATATTATATATCCACTACCAATAATCTCCACAAGAACATTCTCCATCTTTAAAATGATGAAAACAATTTGAATCCCTCAATATTATATGACGGGTAAAAACTGTTGATATATATTTCATAGCAGAATGACAATCTCCACAAACCCGGAGATTCTTAAATATGCGAATTGGTGCACCTGGTGGAGAAGCAAGTAATCCAAAAGCAACAGCCAGCTTCTCACTGTGATAAGAAAGACCAACCTCCTTTCCCTCTCTATCCATGTCATGCAAAGAAAAATTCATATCTGGAACATAACCAGCCTCCTTAATTCTTATTATAATGTCATCAATCTTGGAATAAATCTCAGCTGCCATTGGATGTCCTCTGTCTTCAGAAATGAAGGTATGCACTCTGCTGTTTATCCCAATCCAACTGCATCCAGGCTCCTTAATTATTCCTTTTGATTTCATCAACTTTCGAATTTTTGCAGCATCATCCCATTTATGAGCTGCAGAATACATGTTAGACAACATAACATAAGGCATAGCATTCATGGGTTCCAACTCAAAAAGATTTGTAGCTGCCCTCTCTCCCAACTCTAAGTTTCCATGCACTCTACATGCAGCAAGGAGTGCCTTCCATACCGTTGCATCTGGCTCCACATCCATTTCATTTAGTAATTCTTTTGCCTCATCAAGCTTACCTGAACGTCCAAAAAGATCAATCATGCAGGCGTAGTGTTCAGGGCCAGGTTTTATTCCGTAAACCTTACACATTTGCTGAAAATATATGCGACCATCATCCACAAGACCAGCATGGCTACAAGCAAATAATAATCCTATGAATGTGATAAAATCTGGTTTTGTGCCACTTGTTATCATAGTATCATAAAATCTTAAGGAGTCTCTTCCCCTACCATTCTGTGCATAACCAACAATAAGAGCTGTCCAAGTAATTACATCCCGAACTTGCATTGAAACAAAAATGGTATCAGCATCATCCAGGCATCCGCATTTTGCGTACATGGTTACAAGGGAATTATCCACTGACAGTGACGATCTAAGGCCTGATTTTATAAAGTCTGAATGCACTTGTTTACCAAATTCTAGAACAGTCAGTTCTGCGCAGGCACTCAAAATACTTGCAACAATAAATTGGTCTGGACTTACCCCTGCAATTCTCATGTCACAAAAAATCTTCAGGGATTCTTCGTGGGAGCCATTTTGTGCATAACCAGTGACAAGGGAGGTCCATGAGATGACATCTTTCTCAATCATCTTTTCAAACACTGCATATGCACAATTCAAGTCCCCAGTTTTGGCATACATGTCAACAAGAGCATTGCTAACAAGCTTATAATTATCAAATCCAGTCTTGACTACCAAACAGTGAACAGATTTTGCATCTATACTGCCTATTATGCAACAATTCAGGACAGATGGGAATGTATAATCATCAATCTTCATATTTCTTGAATGCATTTTTTTAAACAAGAGTAGAGCTTCCTCTTCAAACCCGTGTCTTACACACCCAACTATCAGGGAGTTCCATGAAACAACATCGTCATCCTTCATAGTTTCTAATACCCTTTTTGCACTACTTAGATCTCCACATTTTGCATACATATCAACCAACGCACTTTGAACAAATACATTGCATCCAAAACCACTCCGCACAATGCAACCATGCACTTGTTCTCCAAAACAACGTGCTGAAACTGCAGAACATGCTGTCAATATGCTAGGAAATGTAAACTGATTTGACTCAACCCCTTCTGCACGTAAGTAACGAAAAAACTCGATTGCCTTATGACCATCACCATTTTGAGCATAACCAGTGACCATGGCAGTCCACAGGACATGATTTCCCTTGTCAAAGGCCAACCCCTTGAAGAGAAACTCAGCTTCTGAAAGGTGCTTACACTTTGCATACATGTCAACAAGGCCAGTGACAACATACACATTGGATTCAAATCCATTCTTCACCACATACCCATGAATCATTTCCCCGTTTTGGATCAAACGCAATGCTGAGCACAACCTCAGAATACTTCCTAAAGTGTACTGGCTTGGTTTCTGACCCTCCAACCTCATCCACCTAAACAAATCAAAAGCTTCAGCTTCACACCCAAATCTACAATACCCGGATATGATGGAGGACCAAGTGATAGAACTTCTATTCGAAAACCCATCAAAAAGCTCTCTTGCTTCAACCAATCTTCCCATATTAACATAACCATATATCATGGTGTTCCAAGTATACTCATCCCGATGAGACATTTTGTCAAACACTTTCCGGGCATCATCCATTCGACCAGATTTCGACAACCCATTGAGGAGCTGATTGGAATGGTACGTAGATTGATAAGAACCAGCAATGCAGGTGTGGATACAACGAAGAAAAGGCAGAAGCTTGAATGGTCGGCATGGGTTGTGAGGAAATACCACAACTTTTGAATCCAACTTGTGCATAACCACTTGATGCACCTTACTTTCATCAGTGTCTTCATTTAACCACAAAAGGTTGCAGCAGCAGCAGCAGAGGCAAGGGAAGAAATCATTATGCCTGCGTTTTTAACATTTACCTTAAAGAAAATATTTAATAAATAAGATAATAAAAGGGAGAAGTTTCACTTACTTGCTAAAATTTTTTACACCTCTTACTATTAAATTAATTGTCATTTGATTTATGTTAATTTAACGGTTATAATTTATTGGGTCGCACTTATTAATTTATTATTAATTCTCAATAAATTATAATCGTTAGATTGACGGAAATTAACAGTGATTAGTTTAGTAGTAAGAGTTGTAAAACTTTTAAGTAGTAAGTATAACTGTCCCCATAAAATAAAATACATAAATGTGAGTTCTTTCGAGGGTGTTATTAATTCCATGTTAAAGGAGACAAGTTGTTTCGTGTCACAGAGATAAATATACGAACCTCACTGTTTGCTAAAAAAATAAAAAGAAATTTAAGAGATCCACCTTTTTATTTGTGGAGGAGAGAGAAGTTGTCTCTTTTAATATGAGAAAATATTTTTTTCTTTTAATATTAGAAATAATTATGTTTATAAAGAAAAAAATAAAAGTGCCACTTATTAAAAAAAAAGTGTACCCCAGAGTTGGGTGAAGTGATAATATGAACCCTACAACAGCCAAATGGCTGAAGTGGTATCATGACACTTGATTCAGTACTAATCTCATATAAATGTAAGTTTATTTTTTTTTACCTGAATCGCTTCAAATAAATAATTAGAGTAATAAAATTAAAAAAAAAAATTGTCAAAGAGGTTGGGTTAAGCAATTCTAATTGGGACCTTGAAAACTCGTTTACAACTTAGAAAAGTGACCAACTTTTTTTTATTGTGCTGTCCCAATGAAAGAATAAGCCCCTATAACTTCAGCCCAGCCCAAAAGATTTTAATTTTTTTTTTTTTTATGTAATGTTTTTGGAAAAGTAGAGATATACGTAACATAGTGAACATGTCTTTAAACTAGAATTTTAAACCGCGAAACTAGTATTAATTTAAGTTATCATCTCTTTTGCCATCTAACACAAATTCCATTTATCTACTATATAGATGCCATCCATCTGCTACCTAATTTGCTGACACAGACCAAATAATAATATGCTGCAAACACAGATGAAAAGAAAAAGAATAATGGAAAATAGATGAACAAAGTGGACGAAAAAAAAATTAATTGTAAAAATGGTGCTAGTATTTAAAGTAAAAATGGTGTTTCAAAATTCATGCCAAAGTATACACCAAGAAAAGTTTCACTTCTAGCTTTTGACGGTTAGTATCTGTTGTGTCTTTTACTTCCCTTTATCATAATACAAAAAGTTATGAATGAATTTTATTATTTAAATTTTAGAGGCGTGTTATATTTATAAGGTTTTTTCACTTACAACATTTTATAATTTCATATTTATTAATTAATTATTAATTTTTAATAAATTATAACAGTCAAATTGACAAAAATTAATGATTAATATTTGATTGTAAGAAATTTAAGGAAAAAGAGATTGTAAATATAACTTCCCTCTAAATTTTATATTTATATTTTGTAATATTTTTTAATAATATACCCATTCAATATATAAATAAGTGCAAAATTCAAAAAGAATACATTAAAAAAAGTAATATCAACTATTGTAAAACATAATACTTTTAAAGTATGGTTGATTGACCATTTTTTCCATATTTTTTTTTTAAATTATTATTTTGTCCTAATTTCCATATTATATAATAATCTTCTCCTGTTTAATCAAGTTGACCGACATTTACTTCAGTAAATACTCGACATGCAGGCATTTTTTAAGAGCCTTATTTACTCAAGTAAAGGGTCATAATACACTATTGAATCTCTCTTCCTCTCCAACATAAGAACAAAAATTGATTTCCTAACCCTTGAAAAACTCCAAATCAATTGTTTCACTCAACCACATCCTAAATCTCTCTTTTATGAACACTAACCTATTCCTTTTGGTTTTGACTCAAATTGATTTCTTTTGGTAGCTTTCCATTGTGATTGGAAATATTTGATGACTGATTGAAGAGTATTATTAATATTTATCGATAGTAGAGAGACACTCACGTTAGTGACCCGTTGATGAAAGTCTTACTAAGAACCACCATGATTGCCTCCTTGGTTCATCCTCTACATCGATTGATCTCCGCAATGTGGACATGCTAAACGGTTATTTGTTTTAGAGCAGTCAGTCCAAGTCGAGATAGTTCATCTCTGACTATCTTCTCTAGACAATAGTGGAGCCGAAGTATTTGGATTCAACATTTTTCATGAGTGAGGAGTTTGACATTGTATAATTTTTTATTGTGCACACTTGAGAATGCTTGAGGATAAATCTTGTTCGTGTTCGGAGGTGATGATGAAGACTTTTTTCAAAAATTTATGTTACATTAATGGAGATATCACATCTAGGGTATGTGACATTGAAAATGTTATGACTTCTTATATCTAGATTGATTTGCATGGTTTTGATATTGATGTTATGTAGAGTTGGAAAAACGGGCCAACCTATTCGGCCCCGCCTTCAACACATAAAAAATGAAGCATAACGTCCACCATAGGTGAGTGAGTGGGTTGAAAATACTAACCCATCCTGTTTTGAAGTGGGTTGACGAGTCAACCTGCTTAAAAAAATTATTAAAAAATTAATAATCATACTAATGCTAACATTTTATTTCTAATCTCTAACATCTAAATATTTCTCAAGTTTAAAAAAAGTATCAACCAATAAGTCAAAGATAAAAGAATGATTTAAGGCAATAATTTCATTTAACTTAACTATACAAATAATTTCTTAAAATTAATTAATAATTTTAGGGTTATTATATAGCAAAATAATGACATCAAACATGTCAATATTTGCAAATGAACACATCATTGCATCTTGTAACAGAATTTCATAAGTAGTAGTTTAATTTGTATAAATACTAGCATTTGAATCCAAAGATAGGCTTAAGTTTTTTTTTTTCTTTACTTTGTGTTAATCTTTTTTTCTGCTAAGTCGAAAGGGGATAGAAAATAACCTTCCCGATAAAATAATAGCATTATAGCCCTAAAAGAAAATAGTTTATCTCACATAATAGTCATTCACATAGAACAACCAAGTCATAATCTAACATTTAATGTGTGTATATATATATATATATATATATATATATATATATATATATATATATATATATTAGAAAAAGTGATATACAGGTTAACCTGTCGGTTGACTCACCTTGCATATAGGTGAGTTATTTGAGTTGGTGGGTTAAAATACATAACTTAATTGCCCCTTTTTGGCATGTTAGCGGGTTGACCCGTTCGATTTAACCTACTTTGCCAAGTCTATATAATTGAATATATTATGCCTTACTATGGGCAACGTCTTATCAACCATTGAGGGTTATAGGCGTGTCGACATTGTGCCTAAAGTGACTAGGTGTGATGTGAGACTTGCTTAGTATACACATTTTGGTATTGTGTTTCTGACTTTGGATACTAGTATATTATTCTATATGAAGACTCATTATTTGGGGAGGTGTTGGAGAATGACTTAATTGTCAAGTATAACATTTGTAATGAAGTGCAGATCAATTGCACGCACTATATTTGTTGCCTTATACAATGTGCTGCTAGGAAGAGCGCACTTCCATATGCCACGCTTGTTCAGAAGATGCTGGAGCAGTTCCAAGTACCCATGGATATATGAACTTTGAAGACTATGAAAGACTGAAACCATAAGTTTAGGAAACATCTACTAGAGCAGTGTGAAATTAACTAGGTGGGGAATGCGTGACAATGGCGTCCTGAGCCTGAAGTCGATTTGATGGAAGAAGAGGATGCAAATATGGAGGAGATTGATGATGATGTTGATGAGGAGATCCCTATACCTGATGTGGATCCACCTCCACTTGCAATTGGAGTGGATATACTCTTTATGATGTCAAGAAATTTATCCATGCCATGAGACGAGAGTTGAGGCGATGAGGCATAAACAAACTTCAAGGTGGAGATCATGGATACTTGGCTGACTAGTCTTATAGATCGAATTTAGCACTTGGAGGTTGCATATAGGGAGTCATCGTGGAGGAGTCTAAAGTGGCTGGTGATGACGAACATGAGTACAAGGATTAGTGTGACGATGATGATAATGTTGACACCTGTTCAAAGTATTATAGAATTATTTTTTAGTATGTATTGTTGTTTTCGTATGATGTATTTCATGTTTATGGTATTGTATGAATCACATATTTGCCTATGTATTTATCTTTTATTAATGTTAATTCTATGCATTTCAAGGTTGAATTGCTTATCTTTTATGACATCAACTGTTTTGGATGGGGAGTGTAAATGGCGTATCAAGTATGTTTAAATCAACAATGAACTAATTTTTGCATTACAAAAATATGACATGTTAAATAAAAAATGAAATTCGTAAACTAATTACTAATTATTGGTGAAACGTTAGGGTCCATCGAAGAAGAGGTAACCATGTTTATTGGCTAGATCAATGTCAAAACCACCTTCAATGTTAGTGTCCAACAAATCACCAAGTGGAATGACACTTTCAGGATCTCTATACTCTTCATTGTCTATATCTGAGATATCATTGTCTTCCTATTCCCACGATGTGATCTAACTTAAAATTAGGGGAGGTGTTGATGAGGGGACAAATTAGTCTTCAAAATCAACTTATAGTTATCTATTCATATTCATTGGTTGGATGAGTAAAGAAGACGACTCATCACAATCGATTTTAATGTCTCATTAAATTTTTGCATTTACTGACCGAGACAAACATCGGTCATACACTCCACATCTTCATCGTCATTAAGATGATTACCAAGATAATTCCCATTTGAAGTGTTGTATCTAGTTGTCAAGCGAGAAATGCATTAGTTGCCTAGAAGCCTCATTTTTTGATGATTTATCCTCTTTAGATTATTGTATTTAGTACCGTGTTTGATGTATATAATTTTTGCTTAACCTTCTAAAGTTTGACCTTTGGTTCATCTTTGCCAAGGACTAGGGTTTGGAGATTGGTTTGAATTTTTGCACAAAAATCTAAAGATGATGACAATGATTTGATAAGGACAAAGATTTGGATGGTAAGAGTGAGTTAATATGTTAGGTTGCAAAGAAGACGAAGAATGAGCGAGGGAAAATGATAGAAAGCGTGGGAAAAAATATGGACGATGTCCTCTATATATAATTTGGGAAGAGAGACCAAATAGTAATTTTATTAATAGGGACAAAATGATCAATTACCCTTTAAAGTATTTCATTCAATTTCAATTTTTTCCTGGATCATTCAAATTCATCTTACTTTAGCAGTAATCATATACTTGTAATAAGCAAATACTTTTACTTACAAAGAAGATTGTTTACTTAATTTAGTACTAATCAAATACGAGTTTTGATCTATATCAATACTTCATATCATTGTTATATGAACTTCTCTTTTCTCATGTCACATGAGATAACATCTCTCATGCTATAGACACAATAAGGGGTAGGTCTCATTACTTGTTAAAAAAAAAAAAACAACACGAATTTCAATGTCTAACAACATGAGAAAGCAATCTCCAACAACATGAGAAAATTATTTTCCTTCTTATATAGAGATATTATATAACCCATAGAGAGAAACAACCTAATCTCATCACACAAATAGTTCATTTATAATCAACGATATGCTAAATACTAAAATGACTGATAATGAGCAAATAAATTCTCAAAACCAACGTTTCTTAATGTGCTGAAGATGGAAAATGGATGAACAAAATCGAAGGGAAAAAAAAAATAACCGAAAAAATTAAGGCCAATAATTAAACAGCAAAGACCAAAGTACAATATTAGAACATTAACTGAGTATTTGCATAATGCATGCTATAAAGTAAACAAAATAGTGCATCGAGTGGTTGGAATCTTTCGCTTTTAGTTTTTAGCATTTGTCTTTCGTGATAATTGGTCTCTTTTGCTTCCTTTTATTTAAATAAAATAATCTTTTCATGTTAAATTTTCATATAGTTGATTATATAAAATTTTTGTGTTTATATCTCTTTTAATTGTTTTTTTTATTATAAAATCTCACTGATTTATTATCTATTAAGAAAAAATATATATATAAAAATTCATATGATAAAATATATACAAACTTAACACGAATTTTTTTTCCAAGTGATATCAGTATTAGTAAAAAAAAAATATGAACCCATTTAGATGAATTTTTTTCTCTCCAAAAATTGTTTTTTTTTTAAGAAAAAAAAAACACTTTTAAAAAAAAGTCTATTTGGATGTTTACTTTTTAAAAAAGCAGAAATCATAAAAAAATCAAAACTCTACTTTTTTAAAAACTAAAAATTTTGTTATCAAAAAAAAAAAAAAAAAAAACTAAAAATTTTACCTTTTAAAAAAAGAAAAAAGTATTTTTTTCAAAAATTTAATATTTTTAAAAAAACATAAATAACTTTAACTTTTATAAAAAAACACTAAATTATAAAAAAAAAACTTTTTTGAGAAGACATAAATATCATAAATATACTCTCTTTCAAATTTACTTTTGCTTTTCTTTCTCTGTCTCTTTTTTTTTTTGACTGACTGTCTCACGCATTCAAATTCACTTTTACTTGCAACCAAGATCATAAATTGTTCCAATAAAAAATGTATATGGATCAGAGAGCAGTTTATCAATATGTATTATTCTATACAAGCATATGAGGGATAATTTTTTTTTTTTTTTTAAAAAGCAAAGTATAATTACCAAAAAAAAGAAAAGAAAAAGAAGCAAAGTAAACGCTAAACAATTTTGAATTGAATAATTGAACCGCATCACAACAACATATAACAAACCGAAAACTCCTCTGTCCTGTTCAAGACAGCTGCTGCCTACAGAACTGACCCACAACATTGAAAAGTCCACGCTCCACGTTACTGCTTCCTTTGTTTGAACTTTGAAGATTCTCATTTACATACTTATAAGGATTTTATTAATCTCATGTTAAAAGAGATAGTTATCACATGTCATAGAGATAAACTAGTGGGCTCCACCACTTAAAAAATAAAAGAAAAGAAAAGAAAAGAAAAAGATGGCACAGTTATCGAAGGGTGTGTAGAAGAGAAAACTTATATCACGTGACATAAGAATAATTTTTCCCTACTTATAAACAATCACAAACAAAAACCAACGAAATTTTCAATTCCTTGTACCCAAAGTATCCATTTTCAGATCATCATCCATTGTCAAATAATGCCAAATTCAGAAATCCAAAAAAGTCTGCCAAATTCAGAAATCCAAAAAAATTCACCCTCATAATTATGAAGCCTCAACGTCCTTTTCCATCAACTTGTCATTCAAAAACGTTTTTCTCTTAAATACAAGAAACTCTCAAAATCAATGTACTAAAAAAAAAAACAAAAGGATCCAAGCTGTTGCAAGGATCCAAGCTGCTCTCATTCCTAGCGCATCGGATGGAAATGACCGCATTATTTGGAGAAATCAAAAGGTTGGCTGCTCTTTAGTTAAAACCGCGTATTATAACATGCTTGGTTTCCCTCTCATGCCGTTGAAAAATTCTTGGACTACCATATGGAAATGGCATGGGCCTCAACGTGTTAAATCTTGTATGTGGATCATAATGCATGGCCGCCTTCTTACTAAAGACCGCACATCTAGATGGAGTGAGGAATCTGGTCATTGTAAAATATGTCCTGGTGAGTTGGAAACAAACCTCCATGTTCTAAGAGATTGTAAGCATGCTAGAAGTGTTTGGAATTCTCTGGTTTCAGCTAATCGGCAGAGCTTATTCTACAACTTGGATCTTAGAGATTGGGTTGAAAATAATATCTCAAAAGCTTGGAATCAAAGTAATTCAGATGATTGGCGTGATGTCTTTTTTTATCTCTTGTTGGTTCATTTGGGGATGGAGGAACAAAAGTGTCCATGATACTAACTTCAAGCATCCAACCCATGGAACACACATAATTGCTATGTATATAGAGGAAGTTCGTAACTGCATGGGTAGGAAGGCTATGGCTACTACTAGCCCTCATCCAACTCGTATGAGTTTATGGAAACCTCCAAGGTTAAATTGGGTGAAGATTAATATTGATGGGGCAGTTGAAAGGAATACTGAGGTGGCTGCTTGTGGTGGGATTATCAGATCTGATGATGGCTCTTGGTTGGGAGGCTTTGAGTATCATATTGGTGCTTGCACTCCTTTAATGGCGGAGCTTTGGGGAACTCTAAAAGGTCTGGAATTGGTTTGGCAACTGGGATTTAAGAAGGTGGAACTAGAAGGAGATGCTTCTGAAGTATTCTCTTTGCTTGCTGATTGCAATGCAGCTTGTCAGCCTCGTATAGTGGCTAAGATACAAGCACTCATCGGTCAGGATTGGGAGGTAACGCTTTCTCATATTCCAAGAGAAGCTAATTCCTGTGCTGATTGGTTAGCCAAGTCTGCTCTTCACAAAGATACTGGATTCTGGAGTCATAGAGTTATGCCGTTTCACCTTGCTCAGTTATTTGATCACGATCTTCAGGGAATCTCCTCTTGTAGGGGTATAGACCCTGGATAGTTATTTTTTGTTTCTGGTTGTTAGTTTGTTTTTGTTTGGGGCTTCGCCCCTTAATGTTATCAAAAAAAAAAAACAAAAAAACAAAAAAACTCTCAAAATCAGTTACCCAATTTTTTTTTTTAATTTTCCATTTTTTTTGCTTGGATTAAACTCTCAAAATCACTTTTTAAATAAAAAAAAAAAAAAATTTCTCAAACCCCAGTTTTTTTATTCTGCTTCATCTTGATTCTAAAAATTTATATGTTTACTTTCTTTTCCGTAAATAAAACTCGGGTTCGGTGTTTGTCATTTTAAATGACATAAGTTATGTCATTTTAAGAGAGAGATAAATACAGAAGAACAAAACTCATGGAAGAGAGAAAGTAGATGATTTTTTTAATTTAAAATTCAAATTTTTTAGGTCTGTATCTCTCTTAAAATGACGTAACTTACTCTCACTTAAAATAACCAACACTTTTCAATATAAACCCATATTTGTTTTCACTCTAAAATCCTCAAAAGTGTTTAAAATAAAAATAAAAATAAAAAAGTATCACCGGAGCTGATCAAAGATTCAATTTTGACATTCAATTCACTGCTTTTTCCATCAAATCTCACAAACCCATTTCCTCTCTGTACCTTGACACAATTTTTTTTTTTAAAAATGCAGACTTCAAACCCGCCACCTCCATCTCCACCTGATTCCGCCGCCGTGGACACCGCGCCGTTCCTCCACCGCAGCCGCAGCTTCTTCCGCCGTACGCCGCCTCCGCCGCAGCTTAGGACGGCCGCGCGGTTCTTCAGGCACGCGAGCGGGCGGCGCATGATGCTCCGGGAGCCGTCGGTGCGGGTCCGGGAGGCGGCGGCGGCGGAGGTGGAGGAGCGGCAGAGCGACTGGGCTTACTCAAAGCCGGTGGTGGTGCTTGACGTTCTGTGGAACTTAGCGTTCCTTGCTATTGGGGTCACCGTTTTGGGTTTGAGTGCCAAGGAGGAACCTTGTGTTCCCTTAAGGGTGTGGATTGTGGGGTACTTGTTGCAAGGTGTGTTTCACTCTCTTTGTGTTGTTGTTGAATTCAGAAGGAGGAGGACCCAATTGGGTTCTTCCCTTTCTGAGCAGAATAGAAGTTTCAGTTCTGGGAGTGATGATGAGTATTATGCTGTAGAGCAGTTTCAGGAGTGTGAGGGAAACAGGTACCACCTCTTTCAATTTCAATCTTGTTTTATTTTTCTTTTTTCTTCTTTTGGATTGGAGAGTGTATATAAGTATGTATTTTCCTTCATTGAGTGTGGGATCTGATAACAGGTACCACCTCTTGCATCCTGCAATTTACATCTTCTCTTACCGAAAATGAATCATCTCACGTGAAAAAGTGATTACGTTGTTATATTATTTGATCACAATCACTCGTCTAAAAATTATACATTTTTTTTTTTTCTTATCTCATCATCAACGAGTGAGGATCAAATAACATGACCATATGACCATTTTTCATGTGAGAGAATCCATTCCCTCTCTCAGCAAAGTTGTATCAGGATCACTTGTTCATGATTTCATGTTTCTATGCGTTAACCCATCTGAAGAACCATTTGACTTAATGAAAAAAAAAAAATGATGTATTGCTGTATGGAATAAAGCTTTAGGCACATCCATACATTTCCACCATATATGATTACAGCTGATTTCACCTTGTGTTTTTTGCTCTCCCACACTCTAATGCTGCTACCTACCCCTTATGTTATGTGTGCCTTGGTTGATGTGCAAGAAGCATCATTCTGGGGTTTGCTTGGTTAGAGTGACAATGGATGGAAGCAGCAGAGGGAAAGGATGGAAAATGACAATGTTTCAATTATTCAATATATGCATTTCCATAATCTCTTGATACAGTTGTCAATTTTCACTCCTTACTTACCTTTCCCTTCCACTTCTTCCAATTCAACCACACCTAAATTCTGTTCATAATTGAGACTTGAGAGTATCTTCTTGTGATTTGTTAGTATAGTTTATGCTTTGTTGTATTTGGCCTTTGAGGTTGAGTACAGAACTCTTTGTTTTTGACCTTATACTTGTTTGTAAATTGTATTGTTCATTATTTTGTCAGCATCATGAAACACGTAGAGTCTGCAAATACCATGCTTTCATTCATGTGGTGGATGGTTGGGTTCTACTGGGTGACTGCTGGTGGCCAGAGTTTGACAAGGGATTCACCTCAGCTTTACTGGTTAGTTGGAACATCGAACAATATCTACTGGTTAATTTGTTCTCTCTATGCATTCATTCATCCATATTCTGCCTTGCTTATTTTGTAATCATCATGCATGTTGTGTTTTGCAGGCTCTGTATTACATTTCTTGCTTTTGATGTTGTGATTGTACTGATCTGTATTGCTGTTGCATGTCTTATCGGTATTGCCGTTTGCTGTTGTCTGCCATGCATACTTGCTATTTTGTATGCAGTGGCAGATCAGGTAAATAACCTTTTCCCTTATTTTGTTGTTTGTTCTAAAGGTTATTTTGAGATAACTAAATTTATACTAAACATATAGAAATGCTCAAAAAAATAATAATACAAAATTAAAGACGTATTCAGAATTACACATCCATGAATCTTCCCAAAAATGGGCATGATTGTGGGTCTCTGGCTCAATAACAGCTTTATCATGTGCTATAGATAAGCCTCTTTTGAGATCTTAGATGGTCTCCTAGGGGTGATTTCTATATTTCATGATTTTTTATTTATTTGATTAGGATTAGGAATCTAATATTAGTGTATATAGGGGTTAGTGCATTGTATTTTATAACACAACATTACACACCATATATCACAATTATAATTTATTATTCGGAGTTTGTTCTCTCTTTTTCTCCTCCTCTACCTAAATCCCTATAATTTCAAAAGATTCATGGAGCATTGATGTGTACAATCATAGATTAATTAGATTTATTTATGATTTTCATCATTCACTTACTTGCATTTATCATATGCTTCTTTTTTAACTTCTTTATAAGACTTAATTTGACCTTTAATGTGGGAACAGGAAGGGGCAACCAAGGAAGAGATTGACCAGTTGCCAAAATATGAGTTCAGAATGATAAAGGAATTTAAGGAAGAAGGTGAAATCCAAGAATCTTCCAGAGGAATAATGACGGAATGTGACAGTGATACAGCTTCTGAACATGTTATTGCCTTAGAAGATGCAGTAAGTTTCTAGTGTATCAAAATGAGCATTATCTAATTTTCTAAACATGTTATGCTTTGAAACACCATATTTTTGTATACCATTCACAATTATCCATGCCTTGGTCCTAAAGCTTTGCGGCTTATGCATCATTCTGGATGTGTTTTGACATTTAGTTGCTTGTTTAATGCTAATCATAAAACGGCTAATTAAACAGTTATTTACATTCTGTTGCTACCTATAAGCTATATAATTGTAAGCTCTTGTGCAAACCTTTCCTCATCACTCGCATTCAAGTCGTGCACTCTCCCATGGTAAACTACGTAAAATATAGTATCTTATGTGTCATACTTTTCACCTTTTTTCTGAAGGTTGGGGTCATAATACTTATTTTTATGCTTAGCATGCTATATATGGGTGGTTTCACTTTCCCAATTTTTGCAACTGCAAAATTCAATTATGCTTAACAAATGCCACTTTTGATATGAATTTTTGCTGTTAATAACAGGAATGCTGTATCTGTCTTTCTGCCTATGATGATGGTGTTGAACTTAGAGAGCTTCCTTGCAACCACCATTTTCATTGCACATGCATTGACAAATGGCTGCTAATCAATGCTACCTGTCCTCTCTGCAAGTTTAACATTTTGAGGATTGGTAATCACCATCAAGAAGTATGAACTAGTTCCTTGTGGCAAGCAGCATCAGACTGACCTTGCCCTGTTTTCTGTTCTCTGTTGTGTATATTTCTCTCCTAAGTCCTAACCATATTGGGAACAGTTTGTTTCCATGAGCTAGTATGTATACAGAATTTGAGTCCTCTCATAACATGACCCCAAAGACACAAATATTGTATATTAGCAATAACATTCTTGCATTTGTGGATAACTTTATCACTGTAATATATTTGAATTACTTGTAGTTCAACTATAGCTACAAACATATGCATCAAAGATGGCATTTTACTTAATTATTTATTTTCATACCTTAATAGCATACTAATTAAACAAGTTAGTATTCTAGAATGTATACGTATGTTTATTTTTTCATGGCCACATGATTCACATATTTCAAATTTTTATGGGAGAGTGAGTATTGTGAAAATTTACTCCTCCTGATAGAGAGAATTCAAATTGCCAAGAGATGTAGTGGCCAGAAACGTTGAGATTATAAGTATATTTATATTAATTTATTTAGTACTAATTAATTTTTTTTAACTAAAGGTTCTCTTTTACACACACTTTTTCTTAAAGTTACTAATTGAGATATATATTAAATATTTATTTATTGAATAAAAAATCATAAAATAAAAATAAAAATATTAAAATTAAAACACGAATGCACAACCTAACTAGTGAAAAGTTATTTTCTTCGTGTTGTAATCGCTTTTACAAATTTAAGTTTTAAAAGTCTATATATTAAAATAAAGTTATTATTTACTTTTTTTTTTCAAGACATTAACATTATTTAAATTTGTACATTTTTTTCCATTAAATAAAATAGGAACAAGCTATGATCCTATAACGATGACCCTCTCTTAATTAGGTGTAATTAAGTAAATAAAGGAAATAACTCGTAATATTTTAAGGGAAAGGATATTGTGACAACCAAGTTGTGTTACTACTAAGTGACTACCAATCAATTTTACCGTTAGATTGATTATATTGATCCAACGGTTATATTTATTTCCATCTTTGTATGGTCATGATTTCCCAAATTAAATACTTTATATTTATTTTCACCTTTGTATGATTATGATTTTTCATATTTAATGCTTTCACTTTAAATATGGGGAATCATGGTCATACACAGATGAAAATAAATATAACCGTTGGATCAACATAATCGATCTAAGATTGATTGGTAGTCACTTGGTAGTAACACAACTTGGTTGTCACAATATCCGTCCCCATATTTTAAAAGTACATATCCATCTTGGTGTAAATATTGCGTTTTCCACTAAGAATTTGGATCGTCTCCGTCATCATCATGCTAGATGCAGTGGTGTAGCCAAATATTTTTATCGCGTTCCAAAAAGCCCAGCAAGATAGAATCGTGTCAAGCCTATATTATTTTTTAAAATCCAACCAATGCCAACACTATATTAAAGTATTTAAAGAAAATTTGTACCATTTTTTAAAAATTAGCCGGTGCCAAAGCTCTGGCTAATCTCAGCGTGACTCTTTCACAGGCTAGAGATATGAAATAATAAGAAACATAACAATTTTAGGGTTTCTCTTTTTTTATATCACATGTGATAATATCTCTCGTACCATAGATATAATAAATGGTGGGTTTTACTTCTTGTTAAAAAAAACACAAAAAACAAAAAGAATAATCCGAATTTTGATGTCTCACGTCATGAAAAAATTATCTCCTAATATATAAGAAAATGATTTCCTTTCCAAAAATATTATATACCAAAATCAATGATACCATGCTCTCTCTTTTGTAACTGTTTTCCTTCATCAATCTTTTCTTTTATATATGATTGATACATACACCCAAAACAAAAGGAAAAATAAAATAAAATTGCCATCACCGTCAAAGTTTTCAAAGTTCAAACACTGCTGCCACCATAGTTAATCCACTGAACAGGAATACCTATAACAACAAGAGAAGGACTCCTCTCTCCAATAGAATCTCTCATCTGAAAACCACAAGGCCCCACCTTCTCCGGTTTCGCCGCCACCGGAGATGGCACATATTCCGGTGACTTCACCACCCTAACGGAAAAGTTAAGCACCCCATTGCAGCTACCTTCCCAATCCCTTAACCTATAACTCAAGAACTGCAAGCAATGATCTGGCACAACCCCTCCAAGAAAATCGGAAACCGCTATCCTTGCCACCCCAACATCTTTGACACTTGTTGAACTCTTGCACTTCACCTCCAACGTTATAGACCTTGCATGCATGGCCATGTCCACCAACAACTTCTCGTTCCATGAAGGGTTGTACATAACGCCACAGCCACCGCCACCGTCACCGCCAGCTGCCATGCTGGTGGTGTAGCTGGTGATTGACTCGGCTCGAACGACGACGTAGAGGTTCTTGGTGGCTGGCTTCCCGTCCACGCGGAGGTTCTCCGCCGATAAGACGGTGAGCTCTAGTGTTCTACGTTGATGGGTTGTATCCATGTGAAAAGGGTTGGAACTTGACGTGTGGTTTTTGTGTTTGTGAATTGAAGATAGGAAGAGATTTTGGAGTTGTATTGTGAAGAGGGTTGGTGTGGTTGATAAAATATAGAGAGCGAACGCACGTGGTAATATATGTATGAACAAGAATTCAGATTTCGGAAAGCGGGTTAGCGATGCATTTATCGTGTTAAAATTTCACATGAAAGTATGGTATGAAATTTTTATATCTATCTCATTAATTATAATTATACCTCACTTTAACGTATATGAAGAGAGATATAATTATAAGAATTTCACGTAACTAGGGATCTTAATAGGTCGAGCCGGTACGTGGCCTGTCTTATTTACAAAAAATAAAAATCTGGTTTAACATGTTAAAAAAAAGAAAACAATTTTTTTTTTATCCAAACAAAATATATGATCAACAATATTAATAATTCTACAAAGATTTATAGATTCAATGTATATCTAAATAGCACAATATAGAACAAAATCATTAAAAAAGTCTATTTAACCAATAAAATGAAATGAAATGAGTTGAGAAGATAGACAAAATTATTATGAATAGTAATATATATATATATATATATATATATATATATATATATATATATATATATATATATAGATAGATAGTATATTAGGCCAGCCTAAGAGACTCTAAGGCCAAACTTTTGAATTGGAGCATGAAATTTTTTTATTAAACGATCTTTTATACAAGTTTAAGACTGATTCCAACAACCAATTTTAGACATATAAGCCTAAGTCTTCACGAATCAAGCTAAAGGCCCCTAGTTCATTTAACACCCCTACACATAATCATATCATGTGAAATTTTAACACGAAAAGATCCAGTTCTAGCAGAGTTAGAGTTGGATAATTATCACCACTAAGAATTAGTCTTTTTTTGTTGTAAGAATTAGTCTTTTAGTTATGAAATAAATGAAAATATGGATCGTCCCAAAAAAATAATTAAAATAAAAATAAAAGAATGAAGCGATTTTTTTGAATCTTCTGTAAAAATAAGAAATTATGCTTCTCTTTATAAATTATTAGAGATTAATAATTGATTAATTGATAGTTTACCAAAATTTTTTTGATACAATTCAATAAATTATAACTATACATGCATCAAAATTAATGATTAAGATAAAAAAATAAGATTTTTTTTGAGTCTATTTTTTTCACAAATATATTTTTTAGAAGAGAAAGGTTATACTTATAACCTATTTTTATTTACAACCTCTTACAATTATATATTAACCGTTGATTTTCGTTAATCAAGCGGTTATCATTTATTATTAATTAATAATTAATTAATGAATTTAATTTGTTAAAATAATAATTATTTAATGACAATAATTAATGATTAAAATATAATTATAAGATATTATAAATAAAAATAAATTATAAATATAACCTCCTTCGTTACGTGTGACTAAATCCACTCAAGATTCTAAAAAGTTAAAATTTGTGGAATAGTGGGTCCTACTCTGTCAGAGGTTGGCATAAAAGAAATATAAAATTTCCTTGTCCCGTGGGACACGAAAACGAGAGAGAAAGGAAAAAGAAACAAATGGGTTGTTTCCTTTTAATTAACGTGTTTTTCTTACTTTGTGTTGTGTGCGTGTATTAGAACAGTTTTTGGCTCTTCAAGTGTGCAAATCCTCATGGTTTACGTGGTTGCGTCTTCGTGTGTGTTGCTTGTTCGGTGAGAGAATTTTCCTAGAAAACGACCAGTGTCGGCACCGATTATTCAAGGGAAGTAAAAATCTTTTATTTCTTATGGAAGTTAAGAATTATACTAAAAAATATTATTTCTGCAGGGAATTAACAAATAATCGATATAATTTTTATTTTTATTTTGACTTACTGAAATGCCCTATTGTTAAAAAGTTTGATTTCTTATGTATTTGTAAGTATAGTTAATTTTTTTAATAATTAAAAAAATATACTTATATAATAATACTTAAAAGGTCACCGTAATATAAAACCTAACCTTAATTGCGGTTGCCAATTGCCATTGCTAAGATTCAGTGAATCTTGGTTTCAAAGTTGAATCCTAACCATAAAGTAGTGTTAAAAACAAAAGGCATTGGCGTGTATTATTGGAGGGAGGAGTAGGATTCAACTTGATTTTTGTTTTGTAGTTTGGTAAAAGAGGGACTGTAGTGTGGACTAATATTACGATGTACCGACACGTCAAAATATCGGATGTGTCGTGTCTGATACTTTCTAACACATCGATAATTTGCGACACTCCAACACGCGTTGCAGAGATTTAAAAATGGGTTCGAAGGTAGCGTTGCATTGCTTTTTTAATTTCAATTATTAGATTCGTTGTATTATGATTACCATTTTAATAGTTTAGTATAAATATTTAGATATCTTATATTTGTTTGCAAAATTGACAAGTATTGTAAGTTTAGCTTCATTTTTTTGTTAAATCATTAAATATTGAATATAATATATACTATATAAATTAAAAATATTATTTAATATCAAAATGTGTCCTAGTGTCGAAATCTAGCATTTTTTAAAATTAACGTGTCAGAGTGTCATATCCTGTGTCGATGTGGGTTCAACATAGGACTAAGAAGTAAGAAGGTGATTAGTCTTCGACTGTTGACGGGAGAATATCTTGAGAAACCAAAAAAAAAGAGTAAGAAGGTGATTGGACCCAATACTATGCAAGATATAAGCTTTGCCCAAGAAAAGGTCCAATAGGTCCAGGAACCATGGCTTAATGAAGAAGAATACGCGTTCAGTATGCAAAAATCAAAAGGCATTATGCGTCCTCAATTGGCATCTATTGGCAAAGCAGCTTAGGCAAGTATGACCTGAGATTAGTTGCTCAAGACCACTTGGCTACCATATGAACCAATAACCGAAAGATAGCACCCGCTTACCGCAACATCTATACGGACCTAGCCTGACTATAGGTATCTCGCTCACAATATAGCCTGTGAAAGGCCACCACTCTCCACCAATAGGACTAAACGCCTCCTTACAAAGGCGGCATAAGCAAGGCACCCTCCCACTATAAATACAAAGGCATTAAGCCCAAGTAAGATTGTCTATCCATCAATACTTATCTTTGCATAAGCATACCTTTGAGGTGGCTTGATTTGCATGTGCTGTCTGCGAGTAACAATAATGTCCTATTGTGGTGGTGGTGTTTCCTCATGTTGCATCTCCTCCTATGCTGGCTGATCTGTAGTTGCTTCAAGTATTGTCTCTGAAGCATCAAATTGTAAATCCACCTGATGTTTACACTACAAAAAAAGTTGTATTTAGCCACATTAAAAATGTGGCTAAACTAAACAAAAACGTGACTAACTAAAACAACCACACTTTGCATGAATGTGGCTAATAATGGCGTTGCAATATTTCTGCCACACTTGTTGGTTAGTTTTGCCACATTCTGTTTGAGTGTGGTAGCAATGATTTAGCTACGATTATAACTAACTTTGGCAAGGTTAAACCGTGGCTAAATTAATTTAAAAAAAAAAATTACCATAATATAGCACGATAACAAATTGATGCTCGATTATTGGATCAGGTATCATCAAAAGAAGGGTACAAAATTGCATTTGATGACAACCAAAAGGCGCAAACTATTAACAATAGTCTATTAAATAATAACTCTATTCTTAGATGTAAATGAAGATTACTTTAAAAATTTAAGCATAATTTTTTGTCCCATGAATCAAGATGCACCCACAAATAGCTTACTAGTTCAAGTATTGAACTCTATTTCAAACTTGAAAGTGCTACACCAAAAGAAAAAGAAGATGAATATTCATTAGTTATATTGGAAGAGAACTATAACATCACCAAGTTGATATGATTAAACTTGACAGCAACATCCTGCAATTTAAAAAATAAATGAATTCAACAAAACAGAATTCAATCAAACAAATCAGTAACTGTGTTAAGTACTAAACGGTTATGCAAAATTAGCTAACTAACTTAGTAAGAATCATTGCTTTCACAGTTCCTTTCACTTATAGTACAGAATACATTATTTACCCAAAAACTACTATCAAAAGAAAATTCAAATAAGATCTTGTAAAAAGGACAGGGGAATGTTTCAGAAACTAAAGTTAAAAAAAATCAAACGCAAGCATGTCTCACATATTGTCACTGAAGTCTTCCAACAAATTCAAATAATCGGGCCATCTTGCGAGATAGGTCATGTAGAAAAACATGTTAAACTGAAGCAAACAAGGACAAGCAATTAAAGTGAAGGCACCATCAGCATCGATTGAGTTCACAAACCCCAATTAAAGTGTTGAATGGAAAACTCAGAGTTTCGGACCACAAAGAATTGCTTGAACAGATGCATATTCAGACCTGTCATCTTAATTTTATTAAAAGAACACAATATCAATAATGTAAACAAATTCTTCCTTTAGAAATATAAATCTTACCCAAGACATACAATCATAAATTGCCAACACTGAATATGTGCTTCCACCAGGGCAATTTATATACCACCTGCCAATAGAAGCAGCTCAATATAAATCCCACTTCATGACTTGACGAAAGTAAAATAACAATGTCAAGACACAACAAACCAGTATATCTGCATCAATAGTAGCTAGAGTCACAAGATGCGATATAACTCTCTGAGCCATTTGTGCGTTAACTAGCTGTCCTATGAATATTATATACGATTCCTGAACAAAACAGTTAAGAGATCAAGAGGTCCTCCAGGTGTCATCACTACTTGTGTTATTGGTGGATTTCGCTTCCTGGCTTCAATTGCACCATAACTGCATAATACAACAGAAGTCACAAGTTCAAGTTCCCAAGTGGCCACTCGTGTATCTTCTCATGCAGCCTCAAATATTTATGCACGTGATACAGGTCATGACAGATGGACGTAACTGATTGAACTACTTGCAGTTTAGAATTATCAATGAACCACATGGTGCCTATTATTTAAGAACCTGTGCTGCAAGTGAGAAACATTTTGTGGTACTAATTTATGGTCA